GTGTGTGTGTGTGTGTGTGTGTGTGTGTGTGTGTGTGTGTGTAGGCCAGGCGCAGTTGCGTAACATGCAAATTTAAAAGCGTGCATCAAGTTGCCCACGTGCAGGAGACGTTAACCACGGCGCATCACGGATCAGCTCATCTGTTAACACGTCTTCACGCGCATTTTCACAGTTCACTAACGGAGGGGAGCTGCTCTGCCGAGTGGAAGCGGTCCTACTCTACTTGTGCCCACCCCTCTCTCCCCCAGCCAGTGCCTGAATATTCATGACTGTGGCTCGGAACGTCAGGACGCAGCGGCGGCTCTTCCTCCTCTCTGACAGGGAGAGGAAGAGGAGCGGAGAGACAACATGCCAAAACCCATYGGCACCGTTCGGCTGCGTCTGACAACAAATCTGCCCTCAACTCCTTTAAAGCTGCAGCATCGACCAGAGGGAGGCAGCGATTAACCTACAGGAGGAGGAGGAGGAGGAGGAGAGAAAGACGGAAAGAAAGGACGAAAAACAAGACAAGAGAGAGGGGAGAGATAGAGAGAGAGAGGTGGGAGAGCGAAACGCCGCCTCTTTCTCTCCTCCTCATATTTAGCAGACGCTCCTTCAGGTTCGGATGTGCAGAGCGGGACTATCTGAGTGAGCACAGAACGAAGAAGTGTCAGGAGATAAAAGCGGTGACAGTGGAGGGAAAATGTTTTGACGCGAGCAGCTCGAGCAGAGCTGAGGATGGAGGCGACGCATCCGTGTGAAGCAGCTGCTGCGGGCATGATTTATAGTGAGGATGCTGCCTTCCTCTGTCGTCCTTTCTCATTTGTAAAGTCCTGCTGAAGCTACGGAGCTGTTTATCTCCCACCCAGAAGACCCGTTCCCTGCCCTGAACTCCTCCCTCCCCACCACACGCACCTGCCCGGGCGGCGGACTGCGATGCTCCGCCGTGGAGGGAGCGCAGCCTCCTGAGCTGTCCGCGGTGCTGAAACGAGAGCAGCCGGACCCAGACCCCTCAGCTCACAGAAACACAGAGTGAGACAGGGGGGAGGGTGGGGGCGGACCGGGAGTGGGCGACAGAGCCGCGCATGGACAGCTGCTGGGCTTGACTCAAGCCAGCCGCGCCGTCTCCTCTTCGTTCATGGCTGTGGCACGCAAAATCAAAACTTTGCTGACCGTCAACATCCTGGTGTTCGTGGGGATCATCCTGTTCTCGGTGTACTGCAGGATCCAGGACCGGTCCGAGGAGCTCATCCAGATCGGCCGCGTTTCCGAGCAGAGGCTGCGAGCCAGGAATGGAAAAGTTTCCAACCTGGTGGACAGGCAGTCCATTCTTCAGCGGCTGGAGAGGCTGGAGGATGTGGTGTACAACCAGCTGAACGGTAGGAAGTGCCTCAAACTCCCCGCTGGCAGAGTTCATCCTGAGCAGCACTCATGTCCGGGCTTTGCTGCAGAAACCTGCTGTCATTTTACACCCCTAATAAGTTTGTGAAGCCCGAGCAATAATCAGTGTGTGTCTGTGACAAACGTGCTGCTGAGTGAGGGTTTGCTGCTTATTAGGAGGCTAATGAAGCAGGCTRATTCATTACATTCTGTTTGTGCTTACACTGTCTGTTTAGAAAGACTTTACARGTCTGTATTCTTTAACAGGCTGAACTTTCACTGACCTGTAATAACCTGCAATAATTCCAAGGATTTGTGTCTGTAATTGCATCAAGTAGTACATCTATAACAGCAGGTGAAACTGACAAATTCAGCATTCTGGATATTTGTAAAAGCTTAAGAAGAGGGCCATGCTTTGTGTGGCCCTTAAAGCCAAACTGCCTCTAAAAACTCAAAATTTGAATTTAATTTATGATCTGTGTCTTCACTCAGATCAACAGCTAATAAAAATGCATTATATTGCAGACTTTTTAAAAATATATTTAATATCATCATGTATCATACCATCATCATTTATTATCATCAATTTCAAAAATGGTTTTCAATCCCCATATTTTCTGTCCACATTACCCAGATAAACTGATTAGCCTAAACATTATGACCACAGACATGCATGAATACTCTTTAAAAATCAATGTTCTCCATAGTTTTCTCCAAGTTTYATCCCTAATCTTATTGTTTCATTAATCAGTCCAAATTAATGCTGAAGCGGTGGCCTTCAGAAAAATTGATTAAACGTGTGGTGGGTGTTCTGTTAGCATTTAGTCTTCTGGTATAGTTTATTCCAAATGTCAAATGTTAGATGAAATGAAAGAATGTTTACCTTTGTTGGCAGAAAACTTAATAGTTAACAATAGTTAAAACAAACTATTGGTTCACCTTGAATAACAGCTGCATATAAATGCCACTTTTAGGTTTTAGTCAGTTTTGCCGGATTTTTCTCTGCGGTCTGACAACATTATCTTAATCCATTATAAAGGAATGAATTGCTTCTTGTTTGGCAGTACAACAAAACAAGAAACAATGTTTCCCCACCTTCTTCTGCACAGTCAGGACTTTAATTGTAAAAGTTTCAAAATAAAAGACTTGACAATCCATTTGAATAGTTAGTAAATGGGACATTTTGTACAGCTTTATTCTCCTTCAGGAAAGGAAAACTAAACATTTTTGTARGATTCTGTTTTTATGCTAGGGCTTCAACAACTGTTTGAGGGTCACTCTGCCACTTTGAGTTTTCTTGTTGTCTGGGGTACAGCAACCCGTGGCTCTCGAACAATGAATCCTCTGAGTCACACAACTCTGTATGGAGACAATACAAATGTCTAACCAGTCGGACACTGCCGAGCGACTAAAATTACACCTAAAAATACTTATTTGGTGATCTTTATTTTAAATCCTTCCACAGATGGCTTGTATCGAATATCCTTTGTAGGGAAACATTCTCTTTGAGAGTTGTTGTTAATTATTCTCTGAGCAGAGTCTCTTCTTCAGCTCCAGTTGTGTCCAAGTAGCTCAGGCACAATTCGCACACAGCAGTCGGTTCTAAACTGAAGAGGCAAAACAAGCATCAGATGAACTAAAAAGCTGCCACATACACCCCACCTTACAGTTATMATTCAGTCTGGACCCTGAAGGGTGCAAAATATGACAGATAAAACTGATTTATTCTGAAAGATTTCATTTTCTTCGAGGCTGTTGCACCAAATTTCAAATAGTACCAAACACAATAATTCACAGAATTCATTCTTTAACAAATCAAGACATTCCACGTGAGAGACACAATCACAGCTAAGTTTTGCAATCTCTCTTAAACAAGTCAAAAACGCTTTTGTTTTCATTTGGGCTTTTTGTTGGACGGCGGTGCATCAGCAACATTTGCTTTCCATCACTGTCTTGTTATGATTTGTTTAGAGCTCTTTAATGATACACTTCCACTACAGGCCACCAACCTTTTTTACCTTCATCTGTGCACAAACCACAAATTTTATTCTACAACTTCAGGGTATGACTTCAGTGAGAGGAGGACTCAGCATACTGATAACTATTACCATGTCTACCAGCAATACAAAATAATTGCTCATTCCTTCAATTGTTTATTGTCTACCAATGGCATGCCATCAGAGAGGCAGCAAAGACCAATTAGATTTGGAGGACATAAGTCAGAGAATCCCTTCTTTATGGCTGCCTGATGGCCAGTCACCAGACTCCCAATGAGTAAACAACAGTCAAGCTTTTTCRGCAGCCATTGTGCCCAGAAATGAGCAGCATGAGGGTTATCAGCAGCACTGCTCTCCTGTTGATGCCATCAACCTTGGAATGATCAGATGAGAGGGTTTTAAGCTTGTTAACAAGCTTATGAAGCACTGTTTGACCCTTAGTATCGCATTAGAATCAGCAAATACCTCTTTAGTGGTACTTACCTTCTCAAGCTTCAAAAGTTTAAAGGCCTTAACTGAACACTGTGTACTGCATATAAGGGGAGCTGCCATTATTTAGAAGGAGACTGCAGTGCATGTGATTAATAGTATTAAAGTGAATTAAACTTGATGAAATAACGATTGTAGGGGTCACCTAGACTGAAATAATCAAGAAAACTGTCTTGGACCTCTGACCTCTGATGGGCTTTTAAAGAGACACAACTGTTCCACTTAGAACTGAATTTAGGCCACCACAGGTTGCCTTAACCTGTAAGAGATAATCTCTTTTTCTTAATCAGATAATGAACAGAATAATCTTATTTTAGTTTGATTTATTGTTCTCTTAACTGAAGGTTAAGAAGTAATGAGGTCCATCTCACTCTGACTACTGGGCAGAAAATGTGTTAGTCATTTAAAGGGGTTTTCTTTAGTTCTGCCTTCAGAGGTCAGATTAGAAAAGGAAGAAATCAGGGAAAATGTTAGTTCAGAGACTTGCCTTTGCCTCCTGAAGCTAAACAAAGATTATTGCTTCTGTGTAGTTCAGAAACGAAACATATCATGACTTGTTTAGTGATTACCTCTGCCAAGGGGAGGAAGTAATGTTTTTGGTCGCATGTGTCTGTCTGTCGTTCTGTTGGTCTGTCTGTGGACAAAATTACTCAAAAACTTGTGGATGGATTGTCAGGACATTTTTAACACATGTGGATATTGGCCCAAGGAACACARCATTAAATTTTGGTGATRTTCTTGATCACGATGCGGATACAGCAATTTTTCTTTTAATTCAACCGAATCAGCCAGGCTACGCAAAGTGTCATTATGTCAGACACAAGCCTGTAGGAAACAGGAAAAAGAAGTTGCAAAGTCGCTGGGACTACACGTCCCAGGATGCCTACTATCGGGAAAGTTGTAATTATTCTGTTATCAACTAGTATTGGTGATGTTACATGCTGTCTGAAGACATAGAAAAAGAAATGTCATTCTCTTCAYGTTATGGGAATAAATTTTTCTACTCTGATTTTTTTTGTGATATTTTGGTCCACTGTGGTAATGAACTGTGTCAAAATGAAACAAACACTCTAAAATCATAAAGATTAGGTTGTGCTGAAAATAATACCAAATATGGCAGGGTAAATAGGTTTTAAAGTGAAAATATAGAGGTAAATTCAAAGTTAGTCAAAAAYGGCCATTGATCCCAGACCTCAGAGGGTCAAGAACCTCCTTCCGCTTCTGTYCCGCCCATTTCAGCACGGGGCGGGTGGGCTTGTGTGCTCTGTGATGAGGAAGCTATGCTTGGAGACACAGCCCAGAGGAGGAGCTGATCCCAAAAGGCAGTTCTAGTCCCAGCCGGTCATTTTTGCTCCCCTGCTTAGCTGCTTCAGGACACTACAGGATTTTTAAAACATGCATGAATGAGTCAAAGCAAGACTCTGGGCATGTTTTTGATGAGAGGATAACATTATAACATCATATAAAGTTCAAATAAGTAGATTTGACATGATATTTCCCCTTTTAATCACATTCATACATTGATGAGACACATCAGAGTCAGTGACTGAATAGCAGGGAATCAAACCACCAACTCTCCAATTAGATTATGATTCCCTTACCCACTCATCCTTCGCCACCCCCTTTCTGTACAGCATTTCTATAGACTTATATAGAAGAAATGTGGCTTGTGTTCCTCCTCGTTCTTCTTCTGCTACCACTTTTGAATCAGAGTTGTCTTGCTGGTAATATATATATTTCTAGAACCTGTTCAGCAGTAAAATGCACACTCATGGCTGCAGCAGAGAGGATTTGGGTACTGTCATCTGTAGCACCTTTATGGGCTCTGAGCAACCCCAAAGACTAGTAATATTGTTACATTTTGTTCATGAGAACCTGTACTTTCCTGATCCTTTTGTCCTTAGTAGGATGGCAAAAAGGTACACATAGCCTACAGACCAGGTGGCAATATTGTTACACTTTGATCATGTGATTCTATATGCTAGACACCTTCATCTATAGCACCACTCCCTTGGCTACCACATCCAAGCAGTGTACAGGCAAAACAATCCACTGGAGAAGACCATGTTTTGTCATTTTTTTTTGTCTGCGACTGATGAATCTTAGATTTATTTCATTTGCATATCTTTGTGGTGTGTAATTGACTCTGTGATAGTGATTTCAATACAAAATGACTGTTGGGTCAAAATGACCTGAAAACATTTGTAACTTATTTTGTGTGGCTTATACATACATACATACATACATACATACATACATACATACATACATACATACATACATACAT